CAAAGTGAGAAATTACGCTTTGGGAGTCTTATGTTATGTTATATGATATTATGATATGATATGAAATAGTATGAACTAATATGATATGTTGCTATGTGATAGGTTATAAAAGAATATGTTATGTTATAGTACGTATATATTTAGAGAGTACAGGTGTGGATTTCTCTGTGGGATTCAGCCCCTGGATATCATGGAGGTATATGTTATGATCTCCTTTGTGGGATATAACCCCTGGGAGTATATGTTTATGTTAAGATCTCCTTTGTAGGTTATAGCCCCTGGGAGTGTATATATATATATAATCTTCTTTGCAGGATACAGCCCTGGGAGTGTAGGTGTAGATCTCTTTGCGGGATACAGCCCCTGGAGTATAGTCGTAGAAGTCTTATGTATGTGTATGAAATATAAGATGTCTTCTATGCTATGTTATCTGACATTATGCAATAAGCGAACTTTAGGTGAAGACTACTATATAAACCCTGAGTTTATGAGATTTTTTATCTCATCCCGTGTTATAGGAATATATTTCAAGTACTACAGATGCAGGAGAGCCCTTACAGGGAAAGAAACTAGTTTAGGATGGCTAGAGATATTAGCAGGAGCAGATAGCTAGCATATTCTGGAGCATCACTATATACGCATATGTTTTGTTGAGCATGATATGTTATGTTCGTGCATATGTACAATACGGATTCCCATTTTGAGAGGCATATGTAGCCTATAGCTAATTATATACAAATGACAGGATTATGTATAAGTGTGTATGTTACCAAGTAGGTTGATATCAGTAGTAAATATGTATATAGATGGATTGGACTTTTCTATTTACAGGTGTTATGTAGGATAGTGGGATTTGATCCCTGGATTAGTCCAATTTACAGCTGTTATGGTCACAAGTTTACTAAATATAGATTCTATGCAGGTATAAGACTATATAGATTATGTTATATTGAAAAATAAATTAAGCACGACCATACATAAAGATATATTAAAAGATAAAAAGGTTAAGTCACTATGTTACCCAATGTAACGGTGATACTTTTACGTTAAGTCTTTTGCTAAATTAATTACTTATGACGAGTTTTGCAACCATATGTATGTTAACAAACCAGCGGCAGACAAGGTATTACATTGCTCTAATCTGTTTGGCAAGAGTGAATTGTTGTAATTGATTTTGGTGATTTGGAGAGACCCTATAGGTGATAGGTAAGTGTGATCAAAGATATTGATCATAGATTTGTAAAAACTCTTTGTAAATCAGTTTTTCTGGCACCAATTGGAAGCTAGAAGATAGTAAAACGGATCGACTTTAGTCTGGACATAGCTCTCAAGTGGTTAGAGAGTGAACCACGATAAATTCTGATGTGATTCTTCCTTACCCTATCTCTTTTGATTTCTATCAATTGATTTTGTTTTTGATTCTTTGTATATGTTATATTGAATTTGTATAGGGGTTATATTAAATTCGTTCTTGCATGATGTCTTGAAAAGGGTAGCCTTAAACATTGAAATTCTTATCTTTTTCCTTTAATTTTGAATCCGCTGCAATTGCCTCTAAATTGATGTTTTTGGAATGTTTTAATTCTGTTTGGTGTTGAGAAAAGGGTTTATAATCTACAAATTTCGTTTTGGTTGAAGTTATGTTGAAAAGTATTGATTTTTGAATTGTTTCTTGAATCTGAAGTAACATATAGTTCACCCCTCTGTGTGATTGTTTAGCCATATTTTCTTTCAATATCTTGTTATTTTTCAATAAAATAATATCTTGTTGTTTTTAAATAAAATAATATATTTTTATTTTTCTTGTTATTTTTTAATAAAATAAAATCTTATGATTTTTTAATTTTTCTGTAAATATATATATATATATATATATATATATATATATATATATATATATATATATTACAATATTTTCTCTTCTCACTTAGCAAATACATTTTTTCGTAACCTTAAATTCCTTCGTCGCCGCCACTTTTCTCTCCTCCATCAAATTTCGCTACTCTTTTGTCCCATTGTCAACTTCTCTTACCTACCAAACCATCCATCGCTCACTATAGATTCTCAAGACTTTCGCAGTTGATAGTAAGTCTTTATTCTTTGTATTTTTTGCTCTCTTTTTTGTCTCATTGACAATATTGCCTCTTTTCAACATTTCCATTAAAAAAATAACATATTATTTGACTTATAGGTGTTGTATATATCTACCTATCTTGTTCTTGTTTGTTAGGCATGTGTTTATGTGTATGATTCTTTTATTTGTTTCTCTTTATTTATTCATTTGCCTTTTGTTGAAAAACTCTTTTTGTTAGTCTAATTTGATTGGCTTTTACTTGTTTGGTAGCTGATTCTTTTATGTTTAGATATTATAGTTGTTTAGTCTTAAAATAAATACTTTATATATGTGCGTGTGTGCGCGTGTGTGTGTATAATATTTTATTATATTTTAAATTAAATTAAAATTTAATTTTATAATTAAAAATTAATAAAATTCAATTCAATTGATTCTTTTTTTTTATTTTCAACAACGTAGTTAAACTATCAATATTTTGGGTTGCATTCAACTATTGTACAAATAATTATAACTTATAATTTACAGAGTCCAATATGTTATTTTTGAAGACTTGGTAGGCTTGATAGGCAATACCAAGTCTTGTATTTTTTTAAAAATGAAGTTAGCTCAAACGTATAGTTTGGCTTATATCATGTTAACAAGCCAAATCAAGTTTGAAATAATTTACATAGATCTAATCCACTCAGGCTAAAGCCTAGCTTGGCCTGCCTCGTTTATAGCTCCTTGTATATCTCACCGTTGTACATCCACAATGGTGAGCCAACGCCTCACTACAATAGTGGATGCAATGACAAATGGTTTTGGCTCATCTTTGTTCTTTCTCTTTCATTAGCGAATATTCTTCTTCCTATATAAACTTTTCCTCTTTAATAGAAGAGACACCTGATTTTCAATACTTTTATGAGTTGTTACTCTGCTGAATTTTAGAATCACGGTTGCCTATACACACAACCCCTCTTTTCACAGCCATCTCTGTGATAGCACCACCGATGACTCTCTTTAAGCTTTAGTCTATATCACTGCTTCTTTGAACACCTTCATATTGACATATTATAATACCCGAGAAATACAAATCTAACTCTTAATCCACAAGAGTTCATATTATTTAAAAGTTTCAGTCTTTCTCCCTTCAATTTTCTTTCCTTTTACATAATTCAAAAACTCGAAGAATCTTCCCTTCTATGTCTTACCTTACCATTTAATCTAGTTCCTTTTACTCCATTTTTCTTTGAAATTTTCAACTTAGTCTACGAGTTCAAAACCATTACCATTCTCACACTTTTTTTTTATCATAAAGATATTACAAATATTTAAACTTATTACCGCTTCGAAAGAAAGAAAAAAAGTGATAGTAAGTATTTATTCCGTTACATTGTTTGATATATTCAATCAAGACTCAAAAGGAAAAACTAATATATACAGTACCTAAAAATTCTGCAAGAAATGTTCTCACATGAGACCGAGATTCAAATTAAAAAACAGTGTTAACCAATCTCTCAGACTAAAAACATTGGGACATTTCACAAACTCATACTCATCCTTGAAATTTATATAGTAGAAAACTTAAATAAAATTTACTTGTAGTGGTGCTCTCTAGTAACAATAATAAGATATATATATATATATATATATATATATATATATATATATATATATATATATAGATAGAAAAACATTTGTCTTTGCATATAATTTTATATCATTTTAGATTCTAATCGTTGATTTCCGTCATCAATGGTTAAGATTTATTATAGAAAAATGTTTGTCCTTAATTGGATATAATTTTATATCATTTTAGATCCTAATCGTTGATTTTCGTCATTCAATGGTTAAAATTTATTAGGTCAAATTTATTAATTAATTAGTAATTCACAATAAAACCTAATAAATCCTAATCGTTGATTGACGGAAATCAACGATTATGATCTAAAATGACATAAAGTTAGATTCTTTAAAAGAGAAAAAAAAATTCCATATCTATATATATATATATATTCTTATATTGCGTGAGACAAAATTATTTTATACATACATAAAAATATAAAGAAAATTTCTTATATTGTATAAGATAAAATTATTTCATATATATATATAAAAATATAAATTGGATCCACTAAAAATTATATTTATATATATATATATGTATATATATATATATGTGTGTGTGTTACATTTTATTAGGAAAGCTTAAAAAAAGGTGAAGTAACTAAAAATATTTTCCAAAAAAGGATGGGAAAATGAATAAAATAAGCAAAACAGATCAAGGCACTATTTTTCGAGCCTAGACCGCTTCCGATGAGAATACATTCACCACACGTACATCCCAATTTTTCTTTGGAAAGTACACACAAGGCGTGTTTTTTTTAATTCTTGAAGCGCGTTGCCATTGACAGTGATTTATCAAATACCAAAAATACATATAAACACTGCATGCATATTTGTATATATTCTAATATTTATTCTTTGGGTCTAATCTCGTGCAAGCAAAGCAGCGTGGTCTTTGGGTGGGTGGTGTTGAAATTTGAAATTGGTGAAAAGAGAGGACTCTACACACCTCCCCATTCTATCTTAGCCTTTCATTTAATGCTTTTTGTCCCCTAAACATCAAACCTTTCCAGCTGTCCAAATTTCTACCCCATTATATTATTCAAATGAATTATGTCCAAATATTAAAGAAACATGAAACCCATTTAAATCTATATGCCCCACCCTCACCCTATGTATTTGGATAGAGATTAAATGGTTGCAATCTGATTCTTTTCCCATAATAATGCCACAACTATCATACCAAAATACAGTCATAAGCGTGCATTGACTTATACTATTAAATTAAAATTCAAAAACAAAATCTTGCTAGACTTTTCATGTTGAATATCTACATATAGCCCAGCTAAGATTGAGCTATACTCAACACATTTCTCTATCTTTCTCTCTCTCTCTCTCTACTTTTGTGTTTGTCTATCTATTTACACCATGGCAGATGCTCTGAATGAAGAACAAATTGTTGAGATCAAAGAAGCCTTTGGGTTGTTTGACAAAGATGGAGATGGTGAGCAAGTTTTCTCCTTTTTGTTGTATATATGATTTTACTTCTTTTTTTTCTCTAAAGGGTCTCTCTTTTTCAGTTGAAATCTTTTTGTAATTGTGCCAATGTCCTTCATGCTTAATGGCCAATGTTTATAGTTTTTTTTCTTTTTTTCTTTATGGAATTGTTATAATGTAAGGGTTAGTATTGGAGCAGCGATAAGATTGTTTCTTATAACCTTCCTTCCTAAGTCAAAAAGTTTTGTGCACCAAAATTTACCCTTTTGCGGAATTGTTATCACACAAACATATATGATTACTTATAACTAGTGTGTGTCTTCGTGAATTTTTTTTATTTTTTTGGTAATATCTTCATGAATCTTTAATAGGGTGCATTACTGTGGAAGAACTGGCCACGGTTATCCGGTCATTGGATCAGAACCCCACAGAAGAAGAGCTCCAAGATATGATAAATGAGGTCGATGCAGATGGCAATGGAACCATAGAATTTGTTGAGTTCTTGAACTTAATGGCCAAGAAAATGAAAGTAAATTATGCTCTTTCTTCCATTGTTTATTAGTATATATATATATTATATGTTTATATACTAAAGTTCTAAAGCTTTAATATTGCATGTGTTGCCAATGCTTAATATCCCTCTCATTATACATCAGCCCAGAGACTAAGTTCAGTTCTGTGTTGTTTCTCGTTTAGGAGACTGATGCAGAGGAAGATCTCAAAGAGGCTTTCAAGGTTTTTGACAAAGATCAAAATGGTTATATTTCAGCTAGTGAGGTATATAAAATTTGTTCTTTCTTTGACGGCAATGACTCTTCAAAATGTTTACACTTTCTGACAAATTTGACAATTTGAAAATTTCTTCAAATTGCAAAATGCAAACTGCCTTACTGAATCTCTCCCCTTTTGTTTCTTTGTATAATTAACTTGCGCTATTTTAAATAAGGGTAAATGTTTTTTTTGGTGTGGCAGAAATATTTTATCTGTAGAAAAAATGGAGAGAAACTCATAAAGATAGAGAACATAGTAATTAATGGATCCTATCCTTTTTTTTCTCTCATAAAAAACTTCTGCCATAGATATAGAAAACATTCCCCCTTTAAATAATATTGTAAAAGAAGGAAAGTAAAAAATCAATAAATATATCACTTAAATTGACACAATATTATATCCTTTAAAATAATATTTATTATTTCATATATATATATATATAACTTCTGCTTATTCATAGAAAATAATATATAATTGAATTTTCTACATCATGAAAACAATTTTGGAAAAGCGTTTCTCTAGTTACATGAGATAAAATTTTTCAGTGAACCCAAAACAACGTCATTTTGAATTAAAAAATTAAAATGATAAGACTAATATAATTATGTAATTCTAATTTATTACAAGATTATATTAGTCTTTTATCATTTTAATTTTTTAATTTTCTAATCTCAAAATAAAGTCATTTTGAGTTCACTGGAGATAAGTTATCTCCTTTGACTGACTGAAGATATACTGAACCTATTTTTATGGGTTGGTCACTTATAAATTAGGAAAATATATTTTTCAGATTGCGTGAGATCATACGCTACACACAAAGTGTGAGTGAGACTTTTTTTTTTTTTTTCTCTCTATTCTCTTTAGTGGATCTCACCCACTTTTTCATGTTACATCAGATAAATTGTCTCCAAACATGACAAACATATTCCCCTTAAATAATTTGTGAACATTTGATATTTTAAAATAAATCATTATAATTTCTTAAAAGTTAACGACTATTGAAAGTTATTTAAAACTCTGAAAATTTCTTACTTGTGCATATAAAATTATAAGATTTTAGGCAAGAAAAAAAATTATATATATATATATATATATATATAGAAGTTGCAAGTCCTTTTTATAAAAATAAAATATATGTATAACTTATTTTATAAATATTATTGTAGAGATATTATTTTTAATAATACAATGTAGAACGTGCCTTTGCCATAATTTCATAGTACAAAGAGGAGTAAAAGAGGCATGTATAGAAAAGGATGTCATGGATTTATATATGGCTATTAAAAATACATTCATTTCATATGCACATCTAGGACAGTACCTTGTACCTTTCCGCAACCAATGAATAATAGCTGTTTGAATTAAAAAATGACTTGGGCTTGGACATTGAGGCACTTTCTTTTAACTACTTATTAGTTGCAGAGGTTCATTTATATATATTAAAAGATTTCATAATATTTAATTATTAAATAATAAAATGGTAGCCGTGAAGATTGAACTCATAATCACTTGATCGCAGAGCATCTGATATCAGGTAAAAAATTAATTCAATCCACAAATTTAAGCGGATGAGTGAAGGTGGTTTCATATTATATGTATGGGTTTTATAATTCTCACATTATATGATAAGAGAATTCTTATGTTATAGAGACAAAAAGTCATATGAGATCCATATGTTAGAAAAAATCATGTATGGGATCCATGTTAGTACAGAAATCGAAGAGTGTGTCTATCTATTATTCTCATGTTACATGAGAATTATAAAATTGTATATTTATCTCACCTTAATAACTATATATATACACACACAGACACTCACATGCATACTTATATATTAAAATCTGTGTTCTGCAGTTGAGACATGTAATGATCAATCTGGGTGAAAAACTAACTGATGAGGAGGTGGAGCAGATGATTAAAGAAGCAGATTTGGATGGTGATGGTCAAGTTAACTATGATGAATTCGTCAAGCTGATGATGAACATTGGATGAAACTCTCAACCAACACATATTTGTTATTCAAATTCATTTGGCTCTCAATTTCATTCCCTCACAAGAAATAAGTGTTCCTATTATTGTTTGTTGTATTTTTTTACTTGTAGCCAATGATGTGAATGACCAACATTAGAGTGACATCTCAGCCACACCACCATTTGATTTGTTCAACTCCAACCCATAATTATTCAATTAATTCTAGTTCAGTATAATAATGTGCTCTAGTTGGAAAATGGGGCTGTACTAATTAAATGATATATTATATTTATGAAATTCAATTGTTGGTTTTTAGCATCTCACTTTTAGATGAGGCATGTTAATGTTGAATTGAACCATTTCAGAACTTATGTTCTTGGACTTTGACCCAAGAATCAGTGGTTGGACTCAGACATGTGATTTAATATCAGAGATTTCACTGTGTAAATTAGTCATTTTCTTGACTTCTAGAAATAGGGGACTTGTTCATTTCCATCTTTATGAAGTAGTATATAAAACCAAGTCCCTTTCATATTAGTTGTTACACCAACTTTTTGTTTATAAATTTTATGGTTTTAGAACGATTACCCAATTAATTTGGTTCCAGCACTGTTAGATTCAGATTAAGGGCGTACATCAATTTTTTACTTACAATTTTTATAATTTTCCAACCGATTTATCAATCACTCAGTTAAGACGGTTCGAGTTATCAAACCTATATTAGGTCAACTCTCTCGAAACCATTATTTTCATTCTCAGAGCTTGAACTCGAACTCGAGATCTAAGGAAACAAATTGTTATCACTTAAACCAATAATTATCCAAAGATAATACCAACAAATAACTAGATCGCGCGGTTATATTCAGAGCTTGCAATTAGCTGTCACAATACCACACATGCACATTGTTAATGTCTTTATTATGTTTATAGTGTTCTCGTGTGTCATTAACAGCAGAGGCCAGTTAAATGTGACGCCTTGTTGCCCTGTAAGTCTTTGAATTTTGAGTTCTTTGTTACTTTTGTTTAAGTATTCTAAATTCAGCCATGTGGGTCTTTTTTTTTTTTTTTTGGTATTATAGCAATGTGGGTCTTTAGTGTGACACAAACACATGTTCTTATAATACTTTGATGATTTTAGATATCTACCATTGAGTAAGCGACATCTACCGTTAGTGAATAAAGAACAATATGTTAAACTAGTAGAAGCAATGCAATCATGTGACTAACAATTGAAATTTATTTTGTCATTGAGTTTTGTGGATGTAATTATATCTCATCAATATCAAGGTAGGTTGAATGATAAAAAAATAAATCATGTTCTTCTTTAAAGCTACTTAAATTGACCTATTCTTGTTGGCACAGAAAAGAAAATCAAACATAATGATGAGGTTTTTTTAGTATAAATCTTCAAAATCATTGTAAAATAAACAAACAAAACAAACCTCACTGCTTTCTCTCTCTCTACATTTATGAAATCTCTCAAACAAAGTCAAGTTTAACAAGGAATCACTTCATCTTGAACTTGCATCAGAGAATAATCACGAAAATGAATGATCATAGCTGCTGCATTGCACTCACTGTTGGTTGATCTAACCATGATGCCAATCAATATCACCCCAAATCAAAACTTCACTTTCAGAAAAACAAAGTAGAAAGAAACTCATACACAAAGGTATAAAAGTAAAAGAAGTGTTAAGTGTAATTCTTAAGGGTTTGGATTTGTCACAGTTGCACAACACATGCAGCTGCTGAAGAAGGAAGACCTAGGCTTGCGCTTTTCTTTTCCTTTAGGTGAAGTTGATGACACTTCCTTCACTGGCTTCTTTGTGCTAGCATGGTTATCTTGTGTCTCTGGCATGACTAGAAGATGGGTTTCTTCTTCTTCTTTTAAGAAACCAATGAATGAAGCTTTAGATTTCTCAGAGTAACTTCTTTCCATTGTAACTATTTTCTCTTCCACTGGCATTTCTAAGATGCTTTGGTCATATTCAGCATGAGGCATTGAGTTGATGAGATTTGGACTAGTTTGGTTTGACAAGCTTTCATTTGCAGACTTATCCTGACAAAGCAATGGAGTTTGATCTGACTCTTCTGGCCTTGCTTCAATTCGTAGGTTGAGATTGAAGCTTGGTGATTTTTGCATCTGACATGAGATGTTTACATTATCAGGGTTTGATTCAGTGCTGAGCCTTGTTATACTGTCCCTTGTTTCATAACCACCATTTGCAAATATAGAATTGTTTGAACATGGTTCATCAATGAACATAGTGACTGCTGAAGTTGCTTCTGTATGTTGTGAATAATCTTCCCCTTCTTTCTCAAATGCTTCATCATCAACTAAGTCCTGAGATGGAACAGTCACCTTTGAAGAATCAAGTTTGTCAATCGTGGCGCCAAAGTATTCGCCGTCATTTGTTTGCTTCCAATCTGAGTTTGGCATGCTGGTGACAGTAAAACTTTTGGTCTGCTTTACATTGTCCAGATGGTAATTATAGATATGCAACAAAGAAGCAGAATTTTGTAAGGGAAAATATTCTTCTTGATTTATACTTACCATATCAGAACTGCATTGTTCTGACATTTCTGTCCCCTCTAAAGTTTTTACCATGGCATCTGAAGCTTCTTGCTTTTCATTTGTTTCTTCAATTTTATTCTTATAACTCTCCTCCTCTTCATGTCTGCAATCAACAACAGTTAAATCTGCAATAAGAAAAACTGCTTCAGCTTCAGGAACAGTAGAATGATTTTGTTCTGAAGCAGCACTGCTTTCATCTGAAGCCTTGTTGGAGTTGTTAACAAAAGCATCAAATTGTAGTCCATTCTCAATGACTTTAGGTTCTTCAACTTGAACATTGTTGGCAATCCCAGAGACACTAGAATCAAGAGCTATATTTCTTTCTCCATTAGACTCTATTGTCATGTCATATGTATTGACCATGCCAGATTTATGCTCCTTCAGTGAGTCTTTCATGCATTGATCTGGCTTGTGATCATGTGAGTTCTCCATTGTTGATCCACTTCTGCTCAATTTTCTTTCTTCATGAAGTACCTTGCAATTTTCTTCATGGTTATCCACGACAAAAGATTCAAGAAGTAAATTTAGGGAATCCTCAGTAGTATAATCAACCACGGTCAATAAGTTACCATTGCTGTTGTTTCCAATACTTGGGGAATCAGATGTTGCTCCTGAAGTATCTACTAAACCACTCCCAAGCTCATTTCCATCTCTACCATGAGACTCATCTGTACTTAAATTTTTTTCTTGGGATTCCATTTCTTCTTCTAAAACACCTTCCTTAATCTGCTGAAAATGAGAATTAGTATCTAGCAAATTATCTTTGAGGAGTGATTCAGTGCCTTGGAGTGATCTTTCAGAGTGGAATTTGACTAAGTCATCATGGTCAGAATAAACACTTGAGGATTCTAGAAGTTCTGAATCATTTGACATATTCACAGCATTCAAGGTTACAACCATTGTTTCCTCATCATCTGCTAGAATATAAAGCAAGACAATGAAGAGATCATCAATTTTCATCATGCTTATATCTCTGATAATTTAAAATCATAATCTTAAAAATTAAAATTTAATAATGTTTCAGCAATTGGATATGGACAAGGCACTAATCAAGTAAATATGAATAAGGCTATCAAAACATTAACAGATGAAATGTTCTAACCTTGCTTGATTGAAGGCTCGTTATTAAGGTGATGATTATATGTTACTGCTAGATGTTTTCTTAAGTATGACTCTTCTTGCTTTTCGTATTCTTCAGTGCCTTCAAATGAAGAACTTGACAAGCTCTCAGAGTTTTCACCTTCACCTTCAACTGATTCAGCATTTGGAGACTTTTCAGGTTTTCTGATTTCAGTTATTTCATCCACTATAGAACAGAAATACAAATAATTCTTATACTGCGTTTCTAAGTTAGTTAGTTATTTAATATCATTCTGAAAGAAATTACTAACCTGCACCACCAGAAGAATTTATCAAATTCAAAGGATCATCAGAAGCCGCAATGGTAGTTTTTCCTTGAACATCTGTGCCATTGGTAATAGGAATTACTGCATTTCCATCTTGCTTATCTTCCCGAGGTTTATCTTCATGTTCACTTGTTTTATCATCAAAACCCAACATTGCAGCAATTTCCTGATCATCCTTGACTTCAGCTTTTTGATTCTCTCGATGATCTACATTAACAACATCTTCATGAGTATCTCCTTTCAATGAATCATTTTCAAGTGAACTTCTTGTAGAGTCAGAAGCCAGTGTTGGATGCTTTTGATTTTCAATATTCAGGTCACTTTCCTGAGTATCTCCTTCCAATGAATCATTTTCAAGTGTGCTTTCTGCATTGTTAGAAATAAGCCTTGTAGCTTTCTCCTGAACATCTTTGGCTTCTGCTTTTGGAATCATATGAATTTTCTCTTTCACATCATCTGCATGACTATCTTCTTGCAGTGTAACTTTTCCAAGTTCAGTTGTTGTATCTTCAGAAGCAAGTCCTGTAGCTTTCTCCTTAACATCTTCAGCTTCAGCTGTTGGATGCATTTGAATTTCCATATTTACTTCACTTGCATGAGCATCTCCTTCCAATGAATCATTTTCAAGCATGCTTCTTGTACTTTTAGAACCAAACCATATAGCTTTCTCCTTGGAATCATTGGCTTCAGCTGTTGGAATCATTTGAATTTTCTCTTTTACAGCATCTTCATGACCCTCTTCTTGCTGTGTATCTTTTCCAAGTTCAGTTGTTATATCATTGGAAGCTTTTGAAGCTTTATCAGTAACATCTCTGGCTATTGATGTTGGTATATTCTGATTTTCTTCCTGGACACCATCTGCATGAACATCTTGTGAAACCCCATTTGCATTTTCACTAGCATCCTCTAGGAGGGTGTTTTTCTCGGTTTCACTTATGTTATCTTCCTCTGCAAAATGGCAAATGAAATTAAAAAAATAGGGAGAAAAAAAAAAGGAAAAATAGAACTCTACCTCACCAAATTTTCTTAAGCATTCCAATAACAGAACCATGTATGTACCTCTGATAGCAGATGTGTTATTATTACCCATTTCGTTGCCCATGCTCTAGCTTGCCAAATCCTAAAATGTAAGCAAGCAATGTAAAGAGATTATGATTCAATTCGCACACAATTGATTTGCTTCTAATAGAGCAAGATATATCAAAGGAAAGGACTTCAAATTCAAGATATGGAATAACAAGAATGCTATACCATACCATGTTTGTGATGATGATATTCACATGCTCCTAGCTTTAAACATTTGAGGACAGCTTGATTTATGTGACATTGCCAGAGTGTTTATACTTGATTCGAACAGCCACTAACATGGTTTTGCTTACAGCATAAGCCTTATTTTGGGTCATATGTCTGCCTAATAAACATACCATTAAAGTAATTTAACATATATATTACTAACTTTGACCACGAATGCTTTATCATCTTAGATGATAATATATAACCAAATAATCACTTTCGGTGAGTCCATGATTATTAAGTAGCCTATCACTGGATTGTCCATATGAGTATGCTTTAAAATGTTCTTAAACTATTCTTGTTATGCAGGCAGCTATGATGGTCTGGCTCAACCCATCTAACAGACATTTGCAAACACAGACGAGAAGCATTTGAGAATTAAAAAAAAACTCTCCGCTAAACCCCGACTAGCGAGGGTAGGGGTGATTGAAGAGGGCAATTCCTTACACGTAGCTTTACCTTTACATATTTATAAAGAGAATAAATACTCTTTTGGGTCCCTAAAAAAACACGGTCTCCACTTTAGTCCCTTACAAAAATAAATTAGTGAGTTACTCCCTAACAAATTCAAAGTGGACCCATTTTAGTACTTTTGAGGGATTAATATGAGTCTTTTTTTTGAATTTGTGAGGGACCACAATTTCAACTAAATGAGTCCACTTTGAATTTGTTAGGAACTAACTCACTAATTTATTTTTGTAAGGGACAAAAGTGGGGATCGTATTTTTTTGCTAAGAACCAAAAAGGATATTTACTCTTATAAAAATATTATTTTTCATATTCAAACCCGTGAACATTCACTCACAAAGAAATGACTTTATCACTTTTTCAAACTCGTCCATTTTTTTACAAAAAGCCTCTGAGGATCATGAGTTAATAACTTATTATCATTATTATTTCTAGAGTGCTTGTTGTTGAGCTTTTGGGAATACATATTCAGCCTCAAACGGCTTTCCATGTGTTTTGCTTATGTAAAGTAAAGAATCTGAGGTTTTGAACTGTCTGAAAGTCACTACCAAGGACAAAGGACCCAATGAACCGTATATCTGACAGACAGGTACTGGGGACATGTCCTTTAACTATTGGCAAAGAAAAGGTTCACATAGCCGTCATCTATATTATTTTTTCCATTTATGAAGAGAATGGTATGATGGTCATGATTAGGCTTAGGAAGTTGGGTCATTGCTTCTTCATTTTTTTTGTTCCTGAAGCTTAATCTTTATATGCAATGTGGCTTGGAAAAGAGCATAATTGTTGGGCTTATCATTTGTGTGCATTATTCGTTGGCATTCCCTACCTTTCTAAATGATAAGAAGTTAACAACTCAGACCTTTCTCAATTCTTTATCTCTTTGAAAGGAACAGAAAGAAAAGTTGGTGGTTTTTACAAAATGAGAGTGCCGATAGTCTATTATCACTCGTATTTAACCAATTTTTATCTGAAGTACCCTTCTTCCTTTTGGTTAATCAATTCAATAATTTAAAGAAATTAAATAAAAGTGGCAATAGACACATCCTTACAAAATGTTCTTTTCATTTTCTTGCAGAAAATTAACCTTGGAATGATTGTAGAAGATTGCATCCAATAACTTTGTTCAGTTTATATAATCCGATAACCCTAATTGCATAGTTTGCAATTGGAGATTGATGAACATTATTAGCTGTTCTTTGGGTATTTTATTACAGAATTTGGACCACGGAACTCAAAAGCAGATGACCAATCATGAATATTGGAACCACGATATTGGGCTTATGAGAATTAAGACCATTAATCATTGTAAATTTCGAACTTGCACAATTATTAACACAACATTCATTAAGAAAAATTATTGTATTCTAGGATACCAAAAAAAAAAAAATTATTGTATTCTATCAGCTTCAAACAATTTGGTGGGTAAAGCTGTAAAGGGAATACGCAGTTCATACCCCCACAATATTCTTCGTTTTCCTTTTCAATCAACCCTTTATTGTATTCCAATCAGGAAAAAAAACATAAAATAAATATGGAGATTATTTTATTGCGGAAGTCATTAATTCGACACAAAACTATAAATAGCATAAACAATAGATACAAGTTGACAGTAGAATGTTCAAATATTTTTATTAAATTATTCAATTGTGAGAATTAGTTATTCAAATGAAGCTATTTTTGAAAACAATAATATCATTTTTTAATAAGATCACTGAGGTGTTCCTACATGTAACTAACCTATATATATTTGCCAGAGTTGATGGATTCATTCATAACAAATGCAGTAGAGAGGAAAACGGTCGTAGCATTATTATTATTATCAACATAAGAGCAAAGTACAGAACAGTTTGAGATAAATTGGTAATTGACAGATTTTGCAGTAAGCAAATCAATGTAAAAGGAATGATTTCAGAAAACGTGATGACAGAACAGTTAGGAGGATACCTAGCAAAAAGTCCAGAAAAACAACTACCATCTACGTTATGAATCACAACAAATGCTAGATTGCAGCCAGGAAAACACAAGCCGAAAACTATGCTCAAGAAAATCAAATAAAGCATAAGAACTATATAAACATACTTCCACTTCACTTCCATGGTAATAATATGGCAATAAAAAGCTCAAATTGTAAGTTTTCAGAATAAATAATAAGCCTGAATAGTTGCCGTACTAATCTTGAGCTAACAAACTAACTGCTCATAAAATCTCATCCATAACTTTCTGCTGTGTTTTAGGGTCATTCAGTGATATAGTACTCACTCAGCCATGTAAAAGGTATTATTATAAGGAAAACGTAAGTCCAATACAAACAACATAGTAAGATTAATGGATTTATATACCATCATTCATACATAAGAGATTCAGAGCAAATGAACAATTAATTACCAGGAGCTGCCATAGCTGAACTGAACAAGCAAAACAGTATAAGAAATCAGAGTAATTAATATATAACAAGCTAAACAAATTTCCATTATGCATGCAATTTATGTCTCACTTAGGATAGAGATCATGTGGAAAATTATTCAATTCTTATGTAAATGTTCAATACCACATTGCAACCAAAATTCAAAGACAAAAATGGGCGAGTCTTCAAACGGCACAGAAAACAATAAGTAAACCTGGTTTGTCTTCAGCTGTTTGTTACATGCAGCTTGCATTTAAAAAATAAATATATTGTTGTAAAAATGGAAAATATTTATAACGATTTGTTTCCTTTATTAGCTAGATTGTATTTTCTTATTTCTAGGATTTGGATTTACTCCTTTAGGCCTATTAGTTTCTCTATGAATAATGTAGGGTTTTACTTTTCTCATGTTGTATGAGAGAAGTTATCTCATGTTGTGAGATAAATTAAGTGGGGTCCACCAATTTTTAAAAAAAGATAAAAGAAAGAAAAGAGAGGCACGTCTTTTTATGTGAGTGTAAAATGAGAGAAGAGTATTATGTGACATAAGAGTATAATTTCCCAATAATGTAACCCTTTGTATATCATTACCCGTTTCCCTTACCAAAGAGATTAATAATATTTCAATTTTTCTCTTTCAGCTTGGCATCAGAGCTCCGATCTTCGAGCCTCACTTTCGCAACAAAACCCTAAGTTTGTCTTTTAGTGCAACCATATGCCGTCAGTGTAGCCGCCATCTCCAGTGCGAGTTAGTCTTGCGTCGCTAGTGCCCCCAATTGTCGTGCAACAAAACTTGACCAAGCAACCTTCTCCATGTCACTAGGTTGCCATATAGAAAAATGCAATATCCAGAAGTTGAACATCGATCAGTTATAGAACTAGCATAGTCTGCATCAATGTAAACTTCTAAGAACATGTTCTCTCCTTTTTGAAATATTAATCCTCTCCCAGGAGTAGCCTTGAGGTACTAAAGGATTATCCTCTAAAATATTTCTGTACAGCATAAAAGTTTTGTTGCAGCCCTTGACTCTATCACAATTCCTACATCAGTGAAAGAAGCTTTGAAAAATGGGAACTGGGTTCAAGCCATGCATGAAAAAATGAGTGCATTGGAGAAATAAGACATGTGAAATTGTTGATAGGTCAAGCGGAAAGGAAGCAGTGGAGTGCAAATGGGTCTATACCCTGAAATATCGTTCTGATGGTACTCTTGACAAGTACAAAGCAAGATTAGTAGTAAAAGGATACACCTAAACGTAAGGCATTGATAATCAAGAGACATTTGCTCCAGTAGCCAAAATAAACACAATAAGAGTTTTTTGTCTCTTGTTCCTCACTTCAATTGGGACTTAATTTAATATGATGTGAAGAATGCATTCCTCACTAGTGAATTGGAAGATGAAGTCTACTTAGAGATTCCACCAAGGTTTGAGCCTATAACTGGGGAAAACAAAGTGCATAGATTAAAGGCCCTACATGGCTTAAAACAATATTCTCGAGCTTGGTTTGGAAGTTTTACCAAAGTTATGACGTCGTTTGGATAAAAACAGAGTCAAGGAGATCATATCTTGTTTCTCAAACATTCCCAATAGGGAAAATCAAATTATCTTCTTTTTTATGTAGATGATATCATTATAACAAGTGATGATCTAGTGGTGAGACGGCTCTTGCATGAAAGGTTAACTACCGAATTTTAAACCAAAGACCTTGGGAAGCTTAGCTATTTCCTGGGAATTGAAGGAGCCTATTCCAAGCAAAGTATTTTTATTTGTCAACAAAAATATGTACTTGATCTTCTGAAAGATACTAGAAAACTTGTGTGTAAAGCCACTAGCACCCTATTAAGCGAAATCACAAATTGGGAAATGAGGAGAAAAGCCCTCCAATTGATAAAGCACAATGTCAATGACTAGTAGGATGACTAATTTATTTGGCCCATACTAGCCCAAATCTGGTCTATTCTGTTAGCAGAGTTAGTCAGTTCATGCACTACCTAAGAGAAAGACACTTGCATGCCATGGAGAGAATTCTTTAGTCCCTCAAGGCTACTTCTGGGAGAGGGTTATTATTTCTAAAATGAGGGAATCTATCCTTAGAAGTTTATATTGCTGCCAACTATGTCGGATCTATAACTGATCGACGTACAACTTCCGGATATTGCATTCAATGTTAATAAAACCGGACCGGCCAGGCCGGGTCGACCCGGGAACTGGTAAACCGGTCATATAACCGGTCTGGGTAAAGCAACGGACCGGCCATGCATCAAAACCGGTGCGACCCGACCGGTTTTCGTGAAAACCGGTGACCCGGTGGATTAATCGGTGACTCAGCACGGTCCCCAAAAAAAAACCATAATGGACATATTTGAATATTTTTTGCTTATTGACTTACATAGGTTATGTACTTACAACACTAATATTATCTCAATTATGCACTATGCAGGAAATTTTGATTTGATTTATAGCTAGAGATGTCGTTTACTGAACCTGAAGCCCAATATCACCATCATTATATTTTTGTTTGATCCTTTATTGGATAATAATATGTGATTTATTTATTTTTATATTAAAATATTTGAAATTTTTATCATTTTTTTTAGATATTTGAGTATGTTTATAATTTTTTAATATAAATTATAGAATTGCATATAATAATCGGGTCATGCGGTTCAACCAATGACCCACTGGTTGAACCAGTGACTCAGTACCTTGATCGGGTCAATGACCGGACCGGTTTTAATAACATTGATTGCATGTTTCTATGTGATAACCTAGTGTCGTGGAGAGAGAAATATAATATAAAACCATTAATTGGCCTTCACCTAATAGCTTAGGCTTTTGGGTTGAAATGGTTGTTTAATATAGTATCAGAGCCAATGACTAAGTAGTCGTGAGTTCGATTGTTAAAGATATATAAAACCATTAATGTAGTCTCACCCAACAGCTTAAGCTTTTGGGTTGAATTGGTTCTTTACATGGTATCAAAGCCTCGGTGTCACAGGTTCGATCGTCACCGCCCCCACTTTCTCTTGTGGAATTTCTTAGCACAGGTAGGTGGATTTGTGCATTGTCCACCCTTTAAACCCAGTGGGCTCTCGTGCGATGGGAAGTGTTAGAGATATATAAAACCATTAATGTAGCTTCACCCAACAGCTTAAGCTTTTGGGTTAATTGGTTCTTTACATCGATCATCACCGTCCCTCATTCTTCTAATAAATATTTAATTGTAGAATTTCATAGCACAGGGAGGTAAGCCTATGTGTCATCCACCCTTCAAGCCCAATGAGCTCTTGTGTGAAGGGATACTTCAGAGAAGTCTAATATAAAACCATGAAAGTGGCATTCATGTAAAAGCTTGAGCTTTTAGGTGAGATGGTTGTTTGATATATACCACCTTTATACCTTTATTAAAGTGAAATTAAAACTATTAAAGTGAAAGTAAAGTGATCGCTGAGGATTAGGGAACAAGCGTCCCTCTATACTCCATTTCATAGTTCAAATATCACACAGTAAGTATCAAATCTTTGACTTCTTGCTATCGATAGTTGATATCATAACTCCCATTGCCATACTACACAGCCCCCGGTGGCTTATTGATGCGTTCAAATCAAAAGATTACATTAAAGATAATTTCCTTAGATCCTCAAGAGCATTGCCCAACCGTTCTAAGTATACAAAACACAACCATGTGGAACATCACATGCTTCCTGTTACCATGGGGAGGTACTTAGTTATCTGAAATGATAAGTTCCTCGTTAGAGAGATTCTTACTTTTACTTAATAAACAATTGATGACTGTCTTGAAAATGATTTTCCATAAGGAGACTGTACACTTCCTGCTCTCGAGCTTCATGTGTTTAAAAAGACCTTGGACAGCAGGCAGCAACACAGGAATGTCTATATTCATCTGCAATATTCAGCACATACTTAGCAGCCAAAGTGGAGAATTCTACTAAATTGTCAACCATGAACTGAATCCCATATCAAAGCCATTTACTGGTCATTTATGAACCCCAACAATTAAATAGATGAAATTCATACCTGGGATTCAGCTAACGTGTTTGTGTTGGATGAATACTTGACATGGTATCTGATGGCACCAGAAGATTAACAGATAATAAACAGGAAAATATACTAAAACTTGAATTGCAATTGAGTTCTTACAAACAGTGATTAACGCTCAACAATGAAACAGTACTCAGAATGGACTACTGACAACGGACCGCTTGAGACACCTTGAAGGAAATTACAAATACTGAACCAGTAAAATACTCAGCTACTAACAATGGTTACTCTCAACGAGGAAGAAAACCCCACTCCCCATCAAGCTACCCATACTTTTCTTACAAACTTTTTAACTAACTTCCCTTACTCCCTTTTTCCTATTTAGCCACTGATTCCCTTCTCCCATTCCCCTCCCACATGGTATGCCCCATTCAACGCTTGCCACGTGTGCTCTTTTATAACAAACTCTCTTGCAGTGCTTTTCTTCTCAACAGCCAGCACTATCTGTTTCACCAAGCCTTGGCCACCCGAAGAAGCAATGGGCTGATGTTGATCACCCAACGAATCTGCCATGGCCTGCACATTTACTGTCATGGGCTGCTTGTCCGAATCTGCCAATGCAATGGGCTGATCACTATGGCCTTTGCCTTTATTCTGCTTCTTCCTACGTTCATAAACCCATTTTAGGGGTCCAACAACACCTCCCCCTCCAACAATCACCTTGTCCTCAAGGTGAAAATTTGGAAACAACTCTTGCAATTCCTCCATGTCTTCCCATGACCACTCACATTCAGGCAGGTTGGCCCATTCCACCAACACTTCAATCTTCCCATTCAGAAGCTTCCTAGCATTTCGTACCGAAGCAGGGTGAACTTGTAACTCCATCGAATCAGTCAAACAATTGGGCAAAGTCATCACTGGCACATCTGCATTCACAGCCCTCTTCAATTGAGACACGTGAAATACTGAATGTATTCGTGCATAATTAGGGAGTTGCAATCTATAAGCAGCTGGTCCAATCCTTTCCATGATTTCAAAAGGTCCATAAAACCTTGGACTCAGTTTCTGATTGAGATGTTTAGCTAATGATCTCAACTTGTATGGTTGGATCTTCAAATATACCTGATCACCCACCGAAAATGTCACATCTCTTCTACCTTTATCAGCCTGCATCTTCATTCTCTCTTGTGCTTTGCATAGATTTTGCTTCAATTCCAGCAATAATGCATCACGAGCTGCCACCCATTGATCAACCGCAGCCACTGAGATGGGCAGTTTGTCGAACTGAAAAATGGTTGGAGGATCTCTTCCATATAAAGCTTTGAATGGAGTCATCCTTGTGGACCTGTTGTAAGAGCTGTTAAACCAAAACTCAGCCCAAGGAATCCACTTAGCCCAACTCTTAGGGTGACTACTAGCAAAACACCGCAGATAAGTTTCCAAAGTGCGGTTCACCACTTCTGTTTGTCCATCCGTTTGGGGATGGTATGCTGAACTAAACTTAAGGTGAGTGCCTACAGCCTTAAATAATGCTCCCCAAAATTTACTAAGGAATAACCTGTCCCTATCCGATATTATGGATTTAGGGAATCCATGCAACCGGATGATGACACTCACAAACAGGTCAGCTACCTCTTCAGCAGTAAATGGATGTGTGAGAGTGATGAAGTGAGCATACTTTGTTAACCGATCTACCACCACCAGTATAGTATCCACCCCCTGGGACTTAGGCAACCCAGATATGAAATCCAAGGACAAATCTTCCCAAACTTGATCTGGAATAGGTAAGGGATTTAACAATCCAGCAGGTAATAAACTTTGGTACTTTTGCTGTTGGCACACCCCACAATTCTGTACAAACCTTATAACATCCCCCCTCATTCCCTTCCAATAAAGCAATGCAGAAACCCGCTTGTAAGTGCGGATTTCTCCCGAATGCCCTCCCCAAGGAGACGAGTGAAACTCTTCAAGAATAGTGGGAATAAAAGTGGAAGAGCGAGGGAGTACCAACCTGTCCTTGTACCACAAGCAACCCTTCGTCACATGATAACTCGGGTGAGAAGAGCTGTTATTCATGATCTCAGTGATCATCTTCTTAATTCCAGCATCTGCCAAAGCCTCATCAGAAAGCTTCTGCAAATCCGAACTCACAGGTGTGGACATAACCTTGCATTCCATCATACGGGATAGTGCATCCGCGGCCTTATTCTCCAAACCTGGTTTGTATTGGATCTCGAAGTCAAAACCCATAAGTTTTGCCACCCATTTATGTTGTCCATCTATCAACACTCTCTGCTCAGTGAGGTATTTTAAGCTCCTCTGATCAGTTCTTACTATGAAATGTCGACCCAGCAAATAATGCCGCCACTTTTGTATAGAAAAGACAATAGCCTTGAGTTCCTTTTCGTAAACAGAGAGCATTTTATCCTTCTCAGAAAATGCTTGACTAAAATAAGCGATAGGTCGACCATGTTGCATGAGTACTGCTCCCATACCTACCCCTGAAGCATCGGTTTCCACAATGAATTCCTCATCAAAATTAGGCAATGCCAATTCTGGCAGGGACATCATCACAGCCTTTAGTTCATCAAATGCCCCTTGAGCTGTCACATCCCAAGCAAATCTGTCTTTCTTAAGTAATCTAGTCAGGGGGCTGGCTAAATGACCATAATTCTTCACAAAGCGTCTATAATACCCGGTAAGACCCAAAAATCCCCTTAACCCTTTCAAGGACAAAGGAACCGGCCAATCTTTAATGGCAGCTACCTTAGAAGAATCTGCCTTTACCCCTGTTCCGGAGATCACATGGCCCAAATACTCCAACTCCTTCCTTCCAAAACTACACTTCTTGAAATTTGCCACAAAGCAATTTTTTTGCAGTACCTCCATCACTTGACATAACTGAGCCCAATGAGAAGATTCATCCGCACTGTATATGAGAATGTCATCGAAGAAGACTAGGACGAACTTACGGAGAAATGGCTTGAACACCTCATTCATTAAGGATTGGAATGTCGAGGGAGCATTCCTCAAACCAAACGGCATCACAAGGTACTCATAATGGCCCTCATGAGTCCTAAAAGCCGTCTTCTCAATGTCTTCTTTCCGCATACGGATTTGATTATATCCCGACTTTAGATCCAGCTTAGAAAAAATCGAAGCTCCTTCTAACTCATCCAACAACTCATCTATCACTGGTAATGGGAATTTATCAGGGATGGTCACCCTGTTCAAAGCCCGGTAGTCAACACAAAATCTCCAGCTGCCGTCTTTTTTCTTGACTAAGATCATAGGACTGGAAAAGGGGCTAGTACTGGGTCGGATCCACCCCACCAACAACATTTCCCTGACAAATTTCTCCAACTCCTCCTTTTGGTAATAAGGGTAGCGATAAGGCTTTAGATTTGGAACACTGGCCCCTTCCTTCAGAATGATTCTGTGATCACAGGTTCTCTCCGGAGGTAAATCTGTTGGTTCCCTAAACACCTCAGGGAATTGGTGCATGACCCTTGAAGTCAACTCAATAGAGTCCTCCTCCTTGCCAACATTGGTACTCACTACCCTCAGATCCACTAAATAATTTTCCAACCCCTTTTTCATGGTCTTACTAAGCTTCTTATAAGAAATAAGCCCTCTGGACAATTGAGGATCTCCTCGAAGCTCAACAATATCTGATCCATAAGGCACCCTCAAGAAAAGCTCGCGGAAATTAGCCTTTATCTCCCCCAAACCCTCCAGCCAGGTGTAACCCAGAATGACATCCTCCCCCTCCAAGTTAAATACACTTACATGTGGTGCCGTCGATCGAAGAAATTGTGTCCGATTGTACCGCTGTTGCCCTCATTAGGGTTCACAACCCCACTCGTGCCCTGATTTAGATTTGGAGTGGAAGCCCCACTTTCACTACCCTGGGTGCCATTATTTTGAGTTAACGGGCTTGTCACGTTT